TTTTATGGATATCATGTTTTGTTATTATGGTATTTCCCATTTAAAAGCTTAGCAACTGACTAACTGAACTCTACATACAAATTAAGAAATAGTGACAATGTTGTTTTCTCTAACAGTGTCATCAGTCATGATTCCACTCCTGTAGTTTTAATTTTTTAAAAACAAACAAACATGTACAGTGTTTGTTTTAGACTGAACTGGACAGTTTGTGTGACTTATTTTTTTTTTAGTTAGTTAATAAATTAGTTATGAATAACGTTCATTGCTAGTGTAACTTTGTGAGTGAATTGTGGTTGTAGTGACTGTGTAATAAGGTTCTTTATAGTATAATACAAAGTAGGTCACTTTTTATTCCCAGTAATGAAAGATTTAGGATCAATAACCTGAGCAGGAATGATAGTGGTAAATATACCCTTCAAACCTTCGATTTACATGGAAAAGAAACAGGCAAGCGGTCTTTACAGTTGTTCATTCAAGGTAATTTACTATTATGAATGAGTTCAAGAACTTGATAGAAATTTAACATAGTTTTGAAAATCTTTATGATTTAACTCACAAAAATACAGTATAACACCCTTTAATCAAACTGTGGACTGTCACAACAAACGAAAACTCAAAATAAACATGTCATCTGGCTGTAAAGAACTGTGTGTGTGTGTGAAGTGCATTTCACACACTTTCTTCTTTCTTACCATGAGAAGTAAGTGAAAACTCACAGCTCTGCCTAACATGTGATTTTTGTGTCTCTGAACAGATAAGTCCTCGCTTATGTGTGGTTTGAGAGCAGTTGTGGTCATTCTCTTGTTAATTGGGATTTTCATCTACTTCGCTTGGAACAAAAAGAAAAATGAAAAAGCTGAAGTCTCTGCTGTCCCGCAAACAAGAAGAGATCCAGAGGACTCTGTTCTGATGATTGAAATGAGTTCTGCAACTTACACCAACACCTAGTTTCACCTTTTATCTACTGAAATTTGACAAAACAACACACTTTTGTTTATATTCTTGGCAAATTATGTTCCTCACTTAAGCAGCTCATGCTGAATTAAGCTCTGAGGGTTTTCTGCATTTTTATTTGTGGAAGCTTTGATTACAAAGGTTGTGAATGTAATCTGAACTTAACTTCTTTTCTTACTTGGTAAAGGTGGAATCAGTCAAGTCAATTTTTTAATTCAAACATCTGAAACATTTAGTTTCACTAAGCTTTAAACAAGGATTTTTGTCTTAGAAGATTCGGGCAATTTGTTTTTGTTTTTGTTTTTTTAAAGAGGAGGATGGCCTGAGACATTTTTACTCAACTTCAGAACAGGAACATTAATGTGAAAATCTATGAAGTTCAGACACATGTGAATCAACAGCATAGTGTGAATGTATTTTATCACCATGTGTAGTGTTGCCATGAAACAACATTAAAACCATAAACTTCAAAAACGAAAAATTACAAAACTCTTTTTAAATTGATGATGTATTTTCTTTGTCCCTTTTCTGTTTTTCTGATTTCTGTTTTGATGCATGTGGTCTCTCAAGTTCGGGTTTGCTTTTCTTTATTTCAGAAATTTTATTTCAGAAATAAAGTTTCAAATATATCCTTCAAATTTAATTTTTGTGTCCTTTAAAATGCTGTATTGTATAAGGGCTTAGACCAAAAATGCAGGACTCCAGACACAACTGATGAACCGATAAAAACAGCTTTATTGCTGGAACTCAAGGAGCAAAAACAGAATGAAAAATGTAAGCTATGCTGGAACTGACGACTTATTGAGAACTGTGGAAACAATACAGGACACACAGATCACA